GATGGCGGGGTGACCGGTCGGTCGGTTGACCGGATGATGACTGGTGGTCGATTGGTTAACTAGGTAGCATCAACAAATGACAATAGCAAGGAAACAACTACGACAGTTGGCGCAAGGACGGTCGGTCTACAAAAAGTGCAATTGGACGATCGGTCTACCAAAAATTGCAATTGGACGATCGGTCTACAAAAAATTACAATTGGACGGTCGGTCTAAAAAAATTGCAATTGGACGGTCGGTCTACAAAAATTGCCATTGGACGGATGATCTACAAAAAAATGCAATTGGATGATCGGTCTACAAAAAATTGCGATTGGACGGATGATATACAAAAAAATGCAATTGGACGATCGGTCTACAAAAAAATTGCGATTGGACGGATGGTCTACAAAAAATTGCAATTGAACGGTCGGTCTACAAAAAGTGCAATTGGACGATCGGTCTACAAAAAATGCAATTGGACGATCGGTCTACAAAAAGTGCAATTGGACGATCGGTCTACAAAAAAAAAAATGCAATTGGACGGTCGGTCTACAAAATGGTAGATTGCAATTGGCAACAGATCAACAACAACAAATAATGCTGAAATGGGTTGGCCGTTCGGACGGTAGAAAATCAAAAAATAAGTGACAAGCAACAAATAAAGATCATGGCGTTTGGCGGTCGAATGGTCGACATCAACATCAACGATTGAACAATCAACAAGGTCCGAACGGTGGAGCTACAGTCGTGAAACAGAGGTGCAACGGCAACGCAAAAAAAAAAAAAAAAAAAAAAAAAAAAAAAAAAAAAAAAAGAGAGACTAGCATGACCGATCGACCGAAAGCTTAACCAATCGGCCGGTCGAGAACGAAGATCAAACAACAACATGGCGTTGGGCCATAAATGATGATAAGTCACGAAGCAACAAGGCAGGCAGCAACAACAATATAATTCTTATGCATGCATACATTGTCTTTGAAAAATGAAGAAAAATGAAACATACTTAGGTGGCATTAGCAGTGAAACGTGGCAGCCACAAGTAGCAAAGCAACAAACAGAACACATACACTCACATATGATTAACAAAAGAGAGAAAAAGAAGTGTGCATGGTGGTGGCAAGTGAATTAGGACACATATACATTTTTTTTGTTTTGATTTTAGCAAAGTAAGAGAAAAGAAACATGCATGTAAATATGTAAAGGAAAGAAGAAGAGAAGATTTGGAAGCTAAACGTACTTGATGGCGCTCGGTCGGTCGACAAATGAAGCAGGCGGACGGTCGTGCGACAGCAGAAAAGAAAGAAGAAAAATATTTTCCTCCCAATGCTAGGGTTCGGCCGGTCAAAAGGAAAATATTCAAGGCAAGAAAGCTAAAACGGAAAGAAGAATAAAAGGAGAGAGAAGAATTTTTACCTTGCAAAAATTGAAGAAAATCTCAGAGAATTTCAGTTTGTAAAAAAGGTGAAAAGTAAAAATGAAAAATTAAGGGGATTATTTATAGGTGGATGATGGGCTTGGAAGATGAAGGGTCGACCCAATCACGTGGAGAGCTCAGATTGCGACACGTGTCACAACATTGCGCATGCACCGTCCGATCAAGACTTATGGAATTTTTGAAAATTATCAAAAATTGTCTAGTAGACTGGTCACCCTACGGTAGGACGACCGAACGACACTTTGTTCGTGACAAGCATACGGGAAGAGTTACGGAGGAAATAGTTCTCACTTCTCAAACCCGACGATTCTCGCGGATTCAAGAAGTGGGGGACTCGTGATGGGTAAATACGTACAGAAGATTGATCCGTACAGCCGGTCCGTCAAGAAGTCATCCGACCGGTCCGTTGCGGTCGTCATCCTGACAGGACTAAATCACTTGTGGTCAACCGTACCGTTCGTACGGATATGCCTCGTGACAAGAGAAGATACTCTCGGATCACCCTTGGAATCACCCCGACGGAAAGTCACCCGACCGGTCTACGGTAGGGTGACCGGTCGACCTGCAAGATGACGTAGTTTGCAGAGCCGAAAACGTAACTTGCACGACAAGTCGTGGGATACAACTTGCACTTGCAGGGCGGCGATGGACAGCTTGCAAGTAAGACGGCTCCGCCTCATCGATCAGTCAACCTACGCATAGCTGCAGAGCGACCGCCTGACTGAGCCAACGAGAAGACGCCACGTCGATCCACTTGCAGCAGGCGCATTAAATGCGTAGACCGACTCGGACAATATAAATAGGAGGACCTCCTCCTCATATCTCATCTTCATCTCATCATAACAACTACTACTTACTACTTGTACCCTTCACCCTATAATAGCAACCCGCTTGTAACCTATTACTTACTAGTTGCAATACTACTTAGCCTCGGACCGCTCAGTCGTCGCCCGGTAGTCCGACCGACCGATCGGCTGACCGTCGAGCGCTTCATTCTACTCGTTCACAAACATACGTATTCGTAGTGTAACCGTAACCCCCGGTTCAATTTACGCTATCATCGTCAAAATGAACTTTGCCCATTGGCCCGCCCCTACTTAGATATGCAAATTATGTCGTGCAACCGTGTGCACCATGTATGGTGCACACGGTTGCTGCAAAACGGTGTCGTTTTGATTAAAAATCACGCGTCCAACTTAAAAAAAAAATTATTTTTGGTTGCCGTTAACGGCGTTATGACGTGCATAATTTGAATTATATATCCAGAATTAATGAACTATATATTAAGAATTAATGAACTATATATCCTGAATTAATGAACTATATATCCAGAATTAGTGAACTATATATCCAGAATGAATGAACTATATATCCAGAATGAATTAAGAGTAAAAGACATTTTTGGTCCTAGACTTATAGTGTCACAGACAATTTTGGTCATTTATAAAAAAATCAGACAATTTGTGGACACTAGGACAATTTTGGTCCTCCGTCATTCTTCCCGTTAAATGCCCCGTTTAAGAGGGGGTATGTACGTCTTTTCATGCACCATCACCTTCATCTTTGTCCCCTTGGCCGGAAAAGAGCTTCCCTTATTTTGACGCGGAGTTTCCCAAAATCCAAATCCCTCAAATGTCTTCAATTCTCATCATCTTCGTTCTCTACTACTCTCTTCTCTTTCTCTCTCATCTCCAAACAAGCCTTAAACTTGCTTGATCTGGTTGAAATTAGCTTCGGATTCTTCTCTTTTTCTTGATCGGTCGGAATACCCAGCTAGGGATTTCGTTTTCTTGACTATTTTTAGCTTGGTTGAATAGTTTCTGGGAGTTTTCTAATGTTTCAGGACGAGGGATCGTCGTTGTCTATTACGTCATCGTCGCCGCTGCAAGCTTTGCCGGTGGGGGAGTGAATTTCGTCTGGATTGCCATACCCGTGGTTGAAGGAGGTGAAATCGAAAGTACTTGATCCATCTCTTGCTCACCTGCGCCGGCGGCAACCTGGAGAACTCCAACGTAGCCCTCGACCAGATTTTCCACCTGGCCGCGCCCGACGATGCCACCATGCAGCGCATCGCCTGCTACTTCGCTCAAGCTATCGCTGACAAGGTTGCCCGAACTCTGCCCGGCGTTTACCGGGCTCTCTGTTCCACCAAGCTAGCGTCGCCAGCCGATGATTTCCTTGCACGCAATTGTTCGTCGAATTGTTCCCGTTCTCGAAAGTGGCTTTCCTGGTGGCCAACCAGGCCATAATCGATGCCATGGAGAGCGAGAAAATGGTGCACATAATCGATTCAACGGCGCCGACCCAACCCAGTGTTGTGCACTGCTTCAAGACATCAGTGCCCTGCCGGAAGACCCTCCGCACTTTTGCATAATTGGCGTGCACCCCGTGAAAGAGGTGATGGAGCAAATGGGTCGGGTTTTATCCGAGGAGGCAAAGAAATAGGATATCCCTTTCCAGTTCAACGCCATTGTCAGCAAATTCGAAAGCTTGGATTTTGAGAAACTCCGGGTCAAAATAGGAATGCTCTGGCAATTTCATCTCCAATGTTGCTCCACACTCTTCTAGCTTACTACGATGACAAGAAACCATCACCATTCGCATCCAAGATCCCAAAGAGTATAGGAGATGAAGAAGTCGATGCCCATGCGGTTGAGAAAGGAGATGCCACGCTCGAGTCCGGTGACTTTTCTGGCCAAGGGGACAAAGATGAAGGTGATGGTGCATGAAAAGACGTAAATACCCCCTCTCAAACGGGGCATTTAACGGGAAGAGTGACGGAGGACCAAAATTGTCCTTGTCACAATAAGAGTGTCCACAAATTGTCTGATTTTTTTTATAAAGGACCAAAATTGTTTGTGCCACTATAAGTCTAGGACCAAAAATGTCTTTTACTCATGAATTAACTATATATCCAGAATGAATGAACTATATATCCAGAATGAATTAACTATATATCCAGAATGAATGAACTATATATTCAAAATCGATAAGGTCAATTATGAATGTGTAATTATTAATTTCTGAATGTACTGTTGTCAAATTATGCATATATAATTATGAATATATAGTTATGTAATTCTGGATATATAGTTATGTAATTCTAGATATATAGTTATGAAGTTAAGGATATATCCTACTGTTTGAATACGCAAGAAAACCGCCTAACGCCGTTAATGGCAATCCGAACGGAATTTTTTTTAAATGGAACGGCGTCGTTTTGCAACCGTGTGCACCACGCATGGTGCACACAGTTGCATAGCATAACGATTGTACTTAGATAGGGGTGAGTTTGAAAAATAAAGGCCCGCCAAAGAGTGCGTTTCTTTGGCCCGCATGCTATATATATATATATATATATATATATATATATATATAGAATTACATTTAGGTAAAAACACATCTTAAAATACAAACCTGTGGATTAATTTGGGCCATTGGATTTTGCATTTGGATGGCTGTGATTTGGGCGTGAGATTTAGTGGTAGTTTAATGTGTTTTTATGTTAAGGGGGGTAGTTATGGTATTTTACTTGTGTTGAAACCTAGTTATATTAGTTTTAATTTCACGCGCACGTCTGGAATTTCTCTAGTCTTTCGTATGTTCGCTGTTCGTGCGTAGGGAGTGTGTGGACGAGCTCCGCGAATCTCGTCGGCTTGCCTCCTTTGTTCGTTCGTTCTTCAATCCCACGTAGAGATGGTTGTCGGGGGGACCGCGGCACAGTGAAGAGGCAGGGATCACCGGGCGTCGGTCGAGGTTAGTTCGATTTGTTTAATCCGTATTTTTTTGTCGCGGGGGGGAGGGGGGGGGGGGGGGGTTGTTTTTTTCTGTGTTTTTTGCGTTCAGCGTTGGGGGTTTTGTTGTTTGTTTGCCGTTAACGGTGGTTTTGGTGTCGGGGGTGTGGGTATTGCCGATTTTGTGACCGGATTTCGTAGCTAGGTTTTTTTTTTTTTTTTTTTTTTTTTTTTTGGGTTTACTGAGTTGTGGAGGTCTGGTCCATTGGGTGGCGGCATGGGGTTGGTGGCCTTCTCGGCCGCGCATGACGGTGGGGTTTTGTTCGTTAAGTTTCTATTTTTCACCCGTTGTTTGCTGTCGCGGTGCCGAGTTCGTGGACTTCCCGCTGTGCCGCGAGCTCCGTTGCTCGCTCTGACACCAATCGCAGACATGTATCGAAAGACCAAAACCTCGTTGATTTAGAGTTTTCTTTCAGTTTCAAGCCACACCCAAAGGATTTAGAGTTTTCTTAAATAATAGGTTTGGTCTTAATATCTATGGATGCTGGTTCAGATCTGGGTTAATTATTAGTTTCAGAGCATTGCATTTCTTCCACAAGTGCTAACTAAATAGTTGAAGATTAAGTAATTGTTCTTTATTTTTCTGTGTGGTCTTAGATAACTACAATTAGTTTTTATTAAATCTGCCCATAATTTTTGCTTCTGAATTATCTCCACAAAAACTCAATTCTACCTTTTTCTATTTTACATAATTTTTTTACTCACTTTTACTCTTTTAAGCATAGAATTTGTCTCAACAGTAAGTTTACACATTCTACATGTAGAAACTTGTGTAGCTTTGTCATGGTCTAGAAAGAAACAAACAGATCATCTTAAAGAACATCAAATATATTTTGCCTTCAACATTATATTAGCATAGGAGGGAATATAATGAGTTCTATAAAAATAAAAAGATAAAAACATAGAGTGACAATGGAGCTCATATTTACTCCTACATCATCCTATGCTGTTGCTCGAATAATTACAGTTATAAACATATATGTATCAAGAAAAGTTAAATAAAAGTTGTAGTTCTGACATAAATTGTGTCTATTGAGACTCTTTTATGGTTCTATGTTGAGCTGGAGAAAATAATGAGTAATGGCTTACAATTTATACAGGTATTATTCAAGTTACCTTGTCAGATTTCTGGGTGAAATAAAGTGAATAATATGAACCTGGTCAGATTTCTGGGCTGGATGAGTTAAAGAGAATAAACAAGCAGTGATGATCAAAAAGGTCTGGGAGGACCGTGAATTTATCTCTAACATCTCGATAAATTTTCAACCTATTTTCTAGATGGTTAGATCTCTCCTTTTTCTGCAGCTCTATGTTAGGGATTTCTGATTTCTTATGCCGTGTATGAGGCGATGACAAATTAAAAACATCATTAAATTATTTAATGTGAATTAAAAAGGGTTAGGCAAATGTATGGTAACCATTTTTGTTATAAAAAAAAAGTTATGGAGGATATTTGGCGAGTAATGACCCATCTCTGTACTACGTAGCTAATTATATGCTTGCATTATTGAACATTTTTACCTCTGTTTGCATTATTGAACATTGTTACCTCTGTTTTAGATGTGTGCGTTCGTATCTTTTGTTTGTATGCTTGTTTGGTAGTCAACTACATGTGTGTTAGATTGCTAGATTGTTTGGATGTTAAGAGTTCAATTTATGTTGGTTTTGATTATCAATTTGCAAAATCAAAAAATGGAATGGTTTCTGTGTTCATTTTTGCTCCCAATTGTGCAGTTTTTTTTTTTTTTTTTTTTTACCTGCGTTCTACCACGTTGCTGGGGTGTGGGGTTGCTTCTACCGTGTGGCTGGTGGGGGTGGGGGTTGTTTGGGGCGTATTTATTTATGGATTTATACATGCGTATATGTAAAATTACGGTTGATCATCTTAAGAATTGTAGTTCGAAAAAAATAATATGGAATTATAATTGATTGCTTTTCACGTTAGTATTATGGGTTTGTTTGTTTGTTGTGGTGTGCATTCTATATTTTTCTTTTATGCTGACAATTTGGTGGTTCGTTTGTGTTAGGGGTAAAACTATATTCTGTGTTGGTGAACAGACTGTGTCATGGGAGGGTTTGTTATCTCCGACACCAGGCTCTCAAGTTGATCGGCGTAATAGATGTGTGGGCAGCTGTTCTTAATCGTCGGGAGGCTTCTAAGGGTGACACCACGAGTATTCACAAGTTTAGGCTGCGTTACATGAATGAGCTTGTGACTTTGGACTATAATGTGCACAGTCCAGGCAACCTTTCTTGGGCGTTTCGGTCGATATCTGCTCATTTTCCTTCCGTGTACACATGTGTGCTATTTAGTAAGGTCTGATTAGGATTTTGGTGTGATATTCACACGGGTGCTGCACACTGTGTTGATAATCGTTTTTGGTGTTACTACTCAAGTGCACCTTGTTACGTTTCATTGTGCGAGCATCATCTTGTGCACATATTAGTTTCTGGGACTACTGTAACGGCACACAGGCTGTCTTTAATTTATGCTTACACTTTTATTTGGCTTCGCTATGTTTAATGTTGGTGGTTTGGTAGTTTATATTGGTGTAAAAAGTTTTTCTTAATTTCATGCATTTTGGAGGGTGCTTAGCTTGGGTTATATCCTACACCATGTTTGCCCATTCGTATGGTATTGTGTGCATACACCATGTAATCAATTTTTCCGTATACTCATTGGTAATAAATTTAGTTCGATACATGTAACGTGTCTACTACCATCCAACATGTGAGCTTGTATATATTTCACTGTGTGCGCAGCGAATTGGTGTTTCTTATTTCCATGATTTACGGCGAGACATCACCGTTCCTCGATGTGGTTTTAATTTTTGTTCATCTGTGCACCGCAATATACAACTGTGTGCTCACCTGGGCAACATGGGGTTTATCATCCTATAAAAGTGCGCACAAATATGTTCATGTGTGCGTATGTGTCACTTCTTTTTCTTACTTAATTTCATGCATTCTGGATGTGGTGTTTAGCTTCATGTGTGCCCATTCGTATGGTACTGTGTGCATACGCCCTTTAATCATTTTTTCCGTATTACTCAATGGTAATAAATTTAGTTTTGTGCGCATAACGTTCTACTACCCTCCAACATGTGTGCTCGTGTATATTTACTTGTGTGCGCAGCGATTTGGTATTTCTTATTTTTATGATTTTCAGCTAGGCGTCCACGTTCCTCGATGTGGATATATGGTCCATCATGTGTGATCCGCAATATACTAGCTACTTTGTGCTCACTTTGGCAACATGGTTTTTTCCCTCCACCATGTGCGCTCACATATATCTTCATGTGTGCGTATATTATTCCACGCCTTTATTTTTTTTTTAAATCAAGTGCTAGTAATAATAAGTCTGATAAATGTAAATATTCAAGTACGGGTCATAAATCCAAACAAATGGCATTTTTTTAAAAATGGTTTGTGCCCAATATCAAGCTTCCTAATACATTTTTAAAATAAATATTAAATTTGTGTTACATTTTAAATGATATGCATTGGCATTCCAAAAGTAGTATTCTAAATAACATAAAATATTGTGTTCAATTTCGTCGTTCATTCACTAAACTAATCTGTATGTCAATTATTTTCAGTTTGATTGGGGTATGGGATGTGTGCATCACGGTTGATAACTGTGTGCGCGGTAGCGTGTTCGCATCCATGAGGTCTTGCCGCGTAACTCGTTTGTGTACTCTCTTTGCCGTAGGAGTAGAATACCGTCGGGGGGGGGGGGGGGGGGGGGGGGGGAGGGGGAGGATTGCGTCTGTATTCATTATCTTTAATCCTACTTTAATTACTCTCCTTTTATTTAGGTATAATAAATCAAAATCACAATTTTACCATAATTAGGTTACCATGCAATTCTCTAAACTACCCTTATTATCCCTATTTACATTCTAGCCATATGTTTTAACCATTCAATCTAATCCATTGATCTAATCTAATCTTATGGCTCATATTAGTCCACAAGTTTGTATTTTAAGAGGGTTTGCATGTGAATGCAACCCTATATATATATATATATATATATATATATATATATATATATATAAAATGCGATTGTGCGGTGAGAGGAGAGCCATTGATCTTGTTAAAATCAATGTTCAAGATTAACAAAATTAAAAAATGCACGGCGACAATTTGGTAATTTTTGCATTTAGATCAAATTTAAGGTGCGTGGTTTTTGTGCTTTAAGGTGCGTGGTTTGTGTGCTTAATGTAAGTAGTAACTTAAGTTGCATGGTTTTTGTGCTTAATATTGTGCTTAATGTTCGTTATTTTTGTGTTTAAGGTGCGTGGTTTTTGTGTTTAAGGCACGTGATTTGTGTACTTAATGTGAGTAGTTGTTGAAACTTAAGTGCGTGGTTTTTGTGCTTAAGATGCGTGGTTTGTGTGCTTAATGTGAGTAGTTGTTGAAATTTAAGGTGCGTCAGTCTGAAGCTTAAGGTGCGTTGTTTTACTTCTTAAGGTACGTGGTTTGTGTTCTTAAGGTGCGGGGATTGCGTTCAATGAGAATGGGAGCTTATTCTCATTAGAGCGTGCCCATATATATATATATATATATATATATATATATATATATATATATATATATATATATATATATATATATATATATATATATATATATATATATATATATATATATATATATATATATATATATATATATATATATATATATATATATATATATATATATATATATAGAAGGGATCAGTTGCATTTGTCGCTTCCCGTGCGGTTGTGCGGTTGATTAATGTGCGTGAGCTTTGTACTTAATGTGCGTGAGTCTTGTACTTAATGTGTCTGAGCTTTGTACTTAATGTGCGTGAGTGTGTAATGTTAATGTGCGTGAATTTTGTACTTAATGTGTCTGAGTCTTGTGTTTAATGTGCCCGAGATTTGTACTTAAAGTGCGTGAGTAGTTCAGTATTACGAGCTCAGAAGGAAGCAGAACAGGAAATTTTCACAGTCTCCTTCTTTTTCACAATCTTTGAAGCTGTCATTAACAGCTTCGCTCTCATTAGCAGCTACTCAGTATGCAAACCAAAACAAGACAAATTTCATTGTTGCACCACTTCGAAAAAAAACAAGAAGAAAATGCAGCAGTGGATGCACATAATTTTCACAGCAGTGAATGAAGAACACACTCACGCACATTAAGCACACAACTCACGTACCTTAGGCACAAGACTCGCACACCTTAAGTACAAAACTCACGCACATTAACATTACACATTCACGCATATTAAGTACAAATCTCAGGCACATTAAACACGATACTCACACACATTGAGTACAAATCTCACGCACATTAATCAACCGCACAAGAACCTTTCACTATATAGGGTGTGGTTCCTATGAGAACCAACCTCCCCATGAGTTCATGGGAACCAATCTCATCCATTAAAAAAAATCTTTAGATCGCGTGTGCATAATAAGTATTATGATGTGTGCATATCAAGCATGTGTTTTGTGCAACATAGACATGCTTAATATGCACCTATCATAATGCTAATATGCACACACGTTTTTAATGCCCAATTAATATCATCATTATAGAGGTGATATCTCCGTCAGTCTCTGTCGTTGCTCTGTTACCGAGCAAGGCGATGTAAATGCATACCCTCTTCAACAAAATTTAAGCTAGTAAATATGCATTATAGGAATGAATTTTGGATATAAATGAATACACAAGTGTTGGACATGTCCCTAGACAAGGTGATTGGAGTTGATCGGTGATTTCATATTTCCAGTCAGTTCACCATTTTTTACGATGACCAAAGAAACGCACTTTTTACGATTGGAGCTAGTAAATATGCATTCTTTGGCCCGCGTGCTAGCTATATTTTTTACGATTGGAGTTGTATAATCCGCTAACATTAACCGCTAACTGCTGATTGCAAACACGGACATTGCGAGGTAGTTCTCACTTCAATTTGTTGTGTGATTTGAATACTCTCGTTGTCACAAAATCTCTCAAGTAGTTAATATGGTTGGCTGTATTAATTATATTTTTTTAATTTTTTCATGGTATTAATAAAATACTTGGTAAATAAATATATAGCATTATTTTATGTTATAACTTTGATATTTAATTAGAAAAATAGTGCACAAAAAAGATAATAGATAATGTAGTGAATATAATCAATTGATGAATTTGAATGTAAAAATTTTTACATTTGAGAAAAATAAAGACAATATAACTAATGAAAATATTTCTTTTAATTAATTTATTGATAATTAATAATTTGTTTTTCACTGAATAAAGACATTGTAAGGACAATGTAGCGAATATAATCAATTAATAAATTTGAATATAAAGAATTTTTATATTGAGGAAAAATAAAGACAATATAACTAATAAAATTATTTATCTTATTTAATTTATTGATAATGAATAATATTTTTTTTTTTTGAATAAAGACATTGTGAACACATAATTCTAAATTAAAGAAAAGCATATGTATTATTTTTTGTTGTAACTACTAAATTATTATTTATATAATTTAATAAGAGTAAAATAGAGTACTAATTATGCCAACTTTGATTGGGATGAGGTTCGAACCTAAGACCTCTTTTTTTATTGAAATCAATGAGTAAGTTAACGGTGAACTAACGGCAATTCTTAAAATTTTAACGGAATTAGTAACGGTGTGTGGGTATTTTAGGAAATTTTAGTGTAAAATTTAAATCTGATCAATCTTTTAATCAATCTGAGCCATTCATTTGATTAAAATCTGTGACCGCCATTTTTTCTACCCATTATAGGCCTAACTCTCTTGGGCTCTTATTAGTATAGTATATATATATATATATATATATATATATATATATATATATATATATATATATATATATATATATATGGAAGGGATCAGTTGCATTTGTCGCTTCCCGTGCGGTTGTGCGGTTGATTAATGTGCGTGAGCTTTGTACTTAATGTGCGTGAGTCTTGTACTTAATGTGTCTGAGCTTTGTACTTAATGTGCGTGAGTGTGTAATGTTAATGTGCGTGAATTTTGTACTTAATGTGTCTGAGTCTTGTGTTTAATGTGCCCGAGATTTGTACTTAAAGTGCGTGAGTAGTTCAGAATTACGAGCTCAGAAGGAAGCAGAACAGGAAATTTTCACAGTCTCCTTCTTTTTCACAATCTTTGAGGCTCTCATTAACAGCTTCGCTCTCATTAGCAGCTCCTCAGTATGCAAACAAAAACAAGACAAAATTCATTGTTGCTCCACTTCGAAACAAAAACAAGAAGAAAATGCAGCAGTGGATCCACATAATTTTCACAGCAGTGAATGAAAAACACACTCACGCACATTAAGCACACAACTCACGCACCTTAGGCACAAGACTCGCACACCTTAAGTACAAAACTCACGCACATTAACATTACACATTCACGCATATTAAGTACAAATCTCAGGCACATTAAACACGATACTCACGCACATTGAGTACAAATCTCACGCACATTAATCAACCGGACGGGAAGCATTCGACCGCACAAAACCTTTCCCTATATAGGGTGAGGTTCCTATGAGAACCAACCTCCCCATAAGTTTATGGGAACTAATCTCATCCATTAAAAAAAATCTTTGGATCGCGTGTGCATATTAAGTATTATGATGTGTGCATATCAAGCATGTGTTTTGTGCAACATAGACATGCTTAATATGCACATATCATAATGCTAATATTCACACACGTTTTTAATGCCCAATGAATATCATCGTTATAGAGGTGATATCTCCGTCAGTCTCTGTCGTTGCTTTGTTACCGAGCAAGGCGATGTAAATGCATACCCTCTTCAACAAAATTTAAGCTAGTAAATATGCATTATAGGAATGAATTTTGGATATAAATGAATACACAAGTGTTGGTCATGTCCCTAGACAAGGTGATTGGAGTTGATCGGTGATTTCATATTTCCAGTCGGTTCACCATTTTTTACGATGACCTCTTGGTTGGTAGTGTTCTCATTTTTCTTTGTGCGATAAGAAAAGAAGAAATAGAGTTGATCGTTAGTTACTATATCGTTGCCAATATGATCAACGTCTGAAGCCTTTTCTCTTTCCCCTTTTTTCGGGAGGAGTTTTCCAGTCCACGGTCATTTTTGCATAGGCCTGTCAAGATCAGTAACGTGGTTTCACATCACCTTGCTCGGCAACAAAACAATGACCAACATCTTCTCTGCCACTGCCGAAGCTGAGTTTCAGCCATGGGCGGACTTACAGTGGGGGCAGCTGCCCCCATTCACACCACCCCCACGCCCACCCCCACCCCTTATATATGTCAAAAGTTGGTGAGAAGGAGGGTGCGATATTAGCGAATAGTGGTGTGGAATGAAACATTGGGAGAGGGAGAGTTCGAGGAAAATGGAATTCAGTAATGATGGATTACGGACTAGAAGACCATCGGTGGTTCAAACAATTGTATGAGGCAAGATCATATTGGATAGAAGCATACTTCAAAGATGTTTTTATGGGGCTTACTCCGCACAACGTCCAGATCCGAGGTAGAAAACAGAGTATTTGGAAACTGCACTAACCACCACGGAAGCTTGCTAGAGTTTTTCACCTAGTTTGAAAGCGCTATCAATTTGCAGCGTCACAAACATGCACGACTAGTGGCAGATTGCGAAGGGTCTTTGCCAAGTGTAGAGACACCTCCTCGCATTGAGAAGCAGACATCAATAATTTACACAATAACAATATTCTACGAGGTCCAGACAGAGATATATGACAGAAGGTAATCAGCCTACCTTCTTTACAGAAGAAAAAAGAAAAAAAAAATTGCCATGCGTTCATATGAGAGAGAAGAAAGTCCTCTCTCATCTGGCAATTGTCCACGGTTCATCTCATCTGTCAATTGTCCACGGTTCACCTCATCTGTCATATGTAATTTTGTACACATTTTTTTTTTGAGAATCATCTCTACGCATTTATGGTTATGGTTTATTCTATATTAATAAGTGTGTTCATGGTTTATTCTATATTTTTTTAGAATATTAAATAATATTAATATTATTATTATTATTATTATTAATATATTAAACACAAAATTTGGTATTATTATGATAATTATTAGTACGAAATTATTGGTATTATTATTATTAATATTACAATCTAGTGATATTATTTTTAGTTGTAATATTATTTGTTCCGGGACTAATAATTGCACTGTAATTGTAGAGGGGCTTGAGAAGTTATTTTCTCCAACTTCTCGAATGGAAAGGCAGCTATGAAGGTATTCCAATTGATGAACATATACCTTAACGAGAATAAGTTGAACTGATTGGCATAAAGTATTCAGATCTCATTGAAAATCTCACGAATCCCCCTCAAATTGGTGTTGGTGTCCCCTTCAAACTGCTGCAAACTTGCAACTGGTGTCCCCTCTCAAACAGGTGTTCCCCTTCTGGGATAATCTTTACATGCGGGCCGTTCTTATTTAATTAAGTCTGGATTCTATTTAAATTGAATTTATTATGGCTTATACAATCATTAGTATCGCTTATACCAAAACACTCTCTGCAGGGATTTGAAATATCAAGTAGCCTAAAAGAGTTAGAATAGGGACGGGGTTTTACTTGTTGAACTTGGCCTATTGCACTTCAGAGTAGGATATCAGTCTCGAACTTGGCCTATTTCACTTCAGAGAAGGATATTAGGGCAAGATATCAGGGCATGATATCAGAACAAGATATCAGAGCATGATATCAGAGCAAGATATCATAGTGTAAAGTTCATTGATATTATGGGCGAACCTACAGTTGGTGAAGCTGCCCCCACTCACCCCACGCCCACTCCCTATATAGCCCTTGTGTATATATGTATATATATAGTGTTCATGTTTTAGATATATGTATATGAAAACAAATAAATATAAACAATAGGTTATGTAGACTAGTTGGCAAAGTTGTGTTTCAGTCTTGAAATGGTGAAGGGGTCGAATCCTTGCTTTATATATATATATATATATATATATATATATATATATATATATATATATATATATATATATATATATATATATGATCCCATGACCGGTATTTCTATAATTAAAATCTTAATGTATGAGTGATTCGTTTTCCCAAAATCATATGAAACAAAAATTCAACAACCGAATTGAGTACAAAATTCCTTCACATTTTCCTCAATTGATCCATTTGAAAGTCATTGGGGACAAGGAACTCGAGATTGAAATTTGAGTATCTAGGTGATGCAAGTAACAAAAATTTTTAACGAAAAAAGAGAGAAAAGTAGCTAAAATCACGAAAGCAAAGAGAACCATGAGTTAAAAAGCTTAGAAGCATATAGGAAAATTTGAGTGAAAATGGTTATGTAGACACTATAAATAGTAGTAAATTAAAAAATAAATAAATAATGAACCATATCTATACTATTTGCCGACGGAACCTCAAATTGCATTTAGCAAGAAATGCAGTATTCCAGCTAGCAGCTAGCAGAAGATACATTTGCATGTAAGCCATGTGCCTTTTGAATAGTAGAGTTCTATTGCTAATGGAAATCTCAATAAACCATAATCTTCCACCGTATACCAATTGGAGTCTTTATCTACATCTTCACCATAGCCTCTCTATTTAAAACACAATAGCCTCATTGCTAAACACAGTTCTAGCTACCTAGTAATCTCTCTCTAAGATCATTGTCTTCATTCCCTAAGTTCTCTCTCTTGTCTCTAATCTACGTTCATTATTGAATTAGTAACTCAAACTTGTGAGAATGAGAGGAGGAATAGTTTTCAAAGAGCAGGGGAATGAAATTTATTCTACTCCAATTGAAAGTCTAAAACATACTTGGGATAGCATACGAGTTCCAATTCTTTTGCCTATTCTGAGAATTGCAATGTTTGTATGCATAGTGATGTCCGTTATGCTCTTTCTTGAAAGGGTTTACATGGCTATTGTAATTGTTGGTGTTAAGTGCTTTGGGAAGAAACGATACACCAAGTATAAGTTGAATGCTAAAGAAGATCGGGAGCAAAATCAAAACTATCCAAAGGTGTTGGTTCAAATTCCCATGTTTAATGAAAAGGAGGTACACGCCATTAAAATTTTCTTTACATTAATTGCATATATTTTATACCTAAGTGAATGCATAATGAAGTTATATGCATAAACATTGTGGCAAGCTAATAATAGGAACTTCAACCTTAAAATGCCCAATTTAGTAATTAAATGTTAAAACTTATAAAGTATAAGTTGAATGCTAAAGAAGATCTGGAGCAAAATCAAAACTACCCAAAGGTGTTGATCCAAATTCCCATGTTTAATGAAAAGGAGGTACACGCTATTAAAATTTTCTTTACATTAGTTGCATATATTTTATACCTAAGTGAATGCATAATGAAGTTATATGCATAAACATTGTGGCAAGCTAATAATAGGAACTTCAACCTTAAAATGCCCAATTTAGTAATTAAATGTTAAAACTTATAAAGAAAACTACTATATAGGTAACCCAACTAAACAAAAGTTACCTCAAGGGTTTTTTGAGTAACTAAGCAAAAAACTCTTGATAAGTAATTACTAACAATATCAGGGACATTCCAAAAAAAACAGTTACCATAATTTTTTTTTTCTAAATAAGGACAAGCACACTATCACTAGTAAGAAATAACTCATAATTTCCTTCTTTATTCTTCATCAGGTTTACAAGCTCTCTATCGGAGCTGTATGTGGCTTTATATGGCCATCAGATCGATTTATTGTGCAAGTTCTTGATGACTCCACCAATGATAGTCTAAGGGTATTCTCTCAACCAAATATTAACTAAAACAAAGATCTATCCAAATCTTATGAATTAACAATAATTCTTTGAGACCTCATACACAGAAACTGGTGGAGGATGAATGTAAAATGTGGATGCAGAGAGGAGTTAATGTGAAGTACGAGACAAGGAACAACAGGAATGGTTACAAGGCTGGTGCTTTACGTGAAGGTCTAAAAAAGCAATACGTTGATGATTGTGAATTTGTTGCTATCTTTGATGCTGATTTTCAGCCTGATAATGATTTTCTTTGGAGGACCATCCCTTATCTCCTAGAAAATTCAGAATTGGCATTGGTGCAAGCAAGATGGAAATTTGGTAAGGCCAATATTAGCATTAGCATCATCCCACTCTTGAACTCCAATTCATGTGATTAAAGTGGGTGAAACTTCAACAGTGAATGCAGATGAATGTATAATGACTCGACTTCAGGAAATGTCACTAAACTACCACTTTAGTGTTGAGCAAGAAGTGGGCTCATCAACATGCTCATTTTTTGGGTTCAACGGTAAGCAATGAAAAGTATCACTCTAGAATATTTAATACATGCAAATAATAATTTCAAATATTATTTTAGGGACTGCTGGTGTTTGGAGAATCCAAGCACTACATGATGCAGGTGGATGGAAAGATCGAACAACAGTGGAAGACATGGACCTTGCAGTCAGAGCTAGCCTTAGGGGATGGAAATTTCTTTATATTGGTGACTTAGAAGTGAGTCTTTTAAGTATTTACAAATTTATTTATAGTAATACTTAGAAGATCAAATCTCTATATATCAAGAAACTAAAATAGTTAATTTAGGTAAAAAATGAACTTCCAAGCACCTTCAAGGCTTATAGGTATCAACAACATCGGTGGTCATGTGGTCCAGCAAACCTCTTCAGGAAAATGTTCAAAGAAATCATCCAAAGCGAGGTAATTAAACTCAATAGGGGTTTCTTTGTATTAATAATAATTCAAAAAAACTCAAAATGGATCTCTCATATACAATGCAGCGTGTGTCCCTATACAAGAAACTTCACTTGGTCTATGATTTCTTCTTAGTGAGGAAGATTATAGCACATTGGGTTACCTTTTTCTTCTATTGTATTGTCATCCCATTTGCTATTGTAATCCCTGAGTTGCATCTTACAAAGCCAATAGCTATATATCTTCCAGCAACTATAACCATTCTAAATGCAGCTTGCACAAAGAGGTATGCAATTCAACAAAAGCAATAAAAATTATAAGAGTTGATTGCAATAACTTTTATTTAATTATCGCTATTCTCTATGCTTGGAAAAGGTCCTTCCATCTTCTTGTGGTTTGGATATTATTTGAAAACGTCATGTCTCTGCATCGAACTAAGGCTGCAATAATCGGACTACTAGAAGCCAACAGAGCCAATGAATGGGTTGTAACAGAAAAATTAGGGAATGCAGCTAAGCAAAGGCAAAATGTGAGAGTGCCAAAAAGAAAAACGTGCAAGATTAGAGAAAGGTAATGCATTTAACTCTAGATGTGGAAATTTTCTATTGGATAATATATCTATTCTAAAAGGTTGCTAGGAAATCATTAATATTGCTTTTGCATAACTTTCTTGGAATAATCATTAAACTATAACCATTCAAACAGGATCCATTTGCTCGAGATTATGATGGGAGTTTTTATGCTGCAATGTGCATTGTATGATGTGATTTTTGGGAATGACTTGTTTTATGTATATCTAGTGCTGCAAGCATTGGCCTTCTTTGTAGTTGGATTTGGCTGTGTTGGAACACAAGTCCCCGACTAGAGCTTTGCAGGAAGGTATATATACCATAAACACAAAGACAAGTAAACTTTGTTAGTGGACGTTGTTGGTTTTTTTAAGTATTGGCCATTTAATTGGCAAAACATTTAATGTATATTTTGATTTGGTTTTTTTTTTTTTTTTTTTTTTTTTTTTTTTTGGAATCCTAAGTATTATGATTATATTAGAGTTGGCATTTTGTAATTAGAATAAGAAGTCTTGTATCATTGGATTGATCAACCAGGGACCTTCTATAGCGATGACAGATGTGTATTGTTCTCGTATCTATTGGTAAAAGTTATCATTATATACAGATGTGTACTGTTCTCGTATCTATTGGTATAAGTTATCATTATATTTTGAACATGAAGTGATGAACATAGATAGTTGTCATATTTTACTTGACAAAAAAGAAGATTATAAATTCCCTAGCTTCTTGTTGTGAATCTCTGAAGCAAAAGCCATGTGCCATCACTCTTTCTAGCAACAGAAAAGAGCCCACAGTAGTTGATTCACTTTGGTGACCCTAGTCCACTAAGAGTCAAAAAAATGTGGAGGTTTTAGGGTGTGTTTGGAAATCCGGAAAATGATTTCTGGAAATCATTTTTCGAGTTTTTGGTGTTTGGCTAGGCGAGGAAAAGAGAAGTCAAAGGAAAATAACTTATGGTCAATGGAAAATGACTCCTCTTTTCCGGAAAATGACTTCCCCTATGACTTCCCCTTTTTTTGGGGGGAAGTCATTTTCCATTCTTTGGTTTTGCTCATCGCCATTGCATCAACACGACAACACCAAAGACCATCGCCGGATACATCGCCACTGCTGGAGGTTCATCCCCTCGCCACCGTTGATCTGCTCGTCACCGTCATTGATCTACCCGTCGCCGTCGTCGATCTGCCCGTCACTATTGAGGAAGATTGAGGAAGAAACCCAGGTCCGTCCGGTCACCGCCTACCACCATCGCTACTAGTCGAGAAAATAATAAAGAGGGCGACGGAGGTTCAAAGGACTGTTGCTTCGCCGAATCGCCGCCGAATTTGCTATCCACCACCGCCTGGGAGAATAAACCGAATTTGCTATCCACCACCGCCTGGGAGAATAAAGAAAGAAAGACGTCCACCATAACTATCGAATCCACCGTCGCCGAATTTGTTGTTCACCACCATTTCTAATTTCAATTTCAATTTCACAATTCTGCTGTCCACCACCACCAGAAATCAATTTCACCATTTCTAATTTCAATTTCAACTTCACAATTTCTAATTTCAATTTCAACTTCACTATTTCTCATTTTGTGCCTTGTTTATGCATACTGATATGTTAAATAATAATAATTTATGATAATTTTGTTTTGAGTTTGTCATTTTTCTACTCATTTTCTAGAAAATGAACCAAACACACAAAGACAGTTTTCTGTTGGATAGCCAAACACCGGAAAGGAAAATATTTTCTGAAAAATTACTCATTTTCTGAAAAACATTTTCCAAAAGTCATTTTCCTGCTTTCCAAACGGACCCTTAGTAGAAAATGTTACTACAGTATATACAAGGAGGGGAAAAAGATCAGAAAGAGTCTTCCAAGACCAAATATAAGAGTCTTCCAAGGCAAGTATAAGGCTCTTACTAATAAAAAGAGGCATAAATTGACTTTCTACGTGGGTGACCAGTTGATGTTTTTTATCCATAAAAAGAGAATTTCAATAAGAAATTTTTAGAAGCTGAGTCCAAAGAAGTTTATCTTCTTCAAGATTATCAATAATATATTAATATCAATGATAACACGTATGTAATTTACCTATCGAGCAACTGGAGAATTTCAAAGACCTTTAATGTCGCAGATGTCATCAAATATTTTTTTGAGGATGACCCATTGTGTTTTGACGACTCAAGAGCGAGTCTTTTGTATGCAAAAGAAAACGGAGTACATGAAAAATCCATAAAAGCAGGAATAATAATCAACATGCTTACATGCATGAAGTGGAAGAGTTTTCTAAGTTTGGCAGCTAGTCAGTCCAGAATCTTTATTATTTTCAATATTTACAATCTCTTTTAGTTTTATGTATTTCTTGTTGTTTGCATTAAATGTTTCTCGTAATTCCTTTTCCCTTAGACTCCTATTTAAATCATACTACTATGGAAGAAACAGAGTCAGTTAATATATTTGAAAACTTTTTGGAGTGATTTGTGATCATATTTTTATTAGGTCTTTCTATATTTTCTATTGTTATTGCCATGTATTAGTGGCTTAGATGGTGAGTCTTCTTCCTAGTCAACATCATGTTCATAATTAGAAATTTGTTTACTTTCCTTTCTGGACTCGCTCCTTTTTCAATGAGGCTCAATATTCTAAGCATCTCTTCTAGGCTGGGAGTAATCTAGGAAATCACTTGGTTTCTTGCCCCCTAGGATAACCTTCTGAGATTTTACACTACTAACCAGTTAAGTGTTTTAAACTATCCATATCTTCTCCATCATCTGTGGCTCTATTGTTGGATTTTTATTTTTTATTTTTTTTTGTTGCAACATAGCTAGGTCATTAGAGTTGTTGACCATCTCATTTTCTTGGGACCTTCCTTTTTCTTTCACTTGGATAATGTTTTCTATTTCCACAGTAATATTAAAATCACTAGAATCAGACAACCAATTACTAGAATCATTATGTTTCCTTTTTTTTTTTTTTTTTTTGCCAAATGGAAATACCCACAGAAATATCATCTACCCTTCTCCCTTGTGAATCTATATCAAAACCTTCATTGTCCACATGATCATTTAAATGTTAGCAAAGCCTCAAGTCCAACCCAAAAATCTTCATCAAAATCATTACCAAGACCAAAAGCAAACATATGCATACGCAGGGGAGTGGGTTCTACAACATATGAAATAATAGTCTAATCTAAAGGGTTACCTTCCGAGTGATGTTGATTTTGACCCAAGGAGTTCCAAGAATACAATTGGGAAGGTGTTTACTTCGGGTTGCCTTTGCTTGACCAGATTCCTCCATGCCGCGAGGTTCTCGCCCGATCAAGATGGATTAGAAATGGCTGAGTTCCTCGTGTTCAAAATTGCAAAGAGCTCTGATTAGGGTTGGTGCTTCTTCCTATTTGTTTTGGTGATTTGGAGTGTCATCCTCTTGATTTCACCATGATCAAGGAGGCTTTTCGTTGCCAAGGAGTAAGATGAGCAGTGAGGGAGAGACGAGGGTTTCTACTACCGTGAGTGGAACGACTGAGATGAGATAAGGGGATATTTCTTTTCCTCTCCTTTTTGAATTTTGATTATTAATTGAGTTAATACCTAAAATGTTCATAGACCTTATAATGATTTTTTTCAATTTTGTCTTAAACGATTTCAGTGACCTAATGTAGTATCAGACTTTTATATTTTTATTCAATTTAGTCTTTCATTTGTTGTTCTGTCCGTTTGATGTTAAATAGAAGGACAATTCAATAATTTCAATATTAACATTTCTTTACTCATAGACCTGCGAAGTGTGAAATCCCTCATTCTTTTACGAATTACTCCCAAACTTGCGAATATAAAATTTGATTCGCAGGTCTGGGAGTAATTCGTAAATGAAAGAGGGATTTCGCACTTGGCAAGGCTAAGAGTAAATACTTGCCAATATTGAGATTATTGAATTATCCTTTTATTTAACTCTAATTTGACGGAATAACAATCGGATGATTAAATTGAGAAAAAATACAAAAGTTTAGGACTACATTCGGTCATCAAAGTCGTTTAGAACGAAATTGAGAAAAAGCATTATAGTCGATGACCATTTTTTGTATTAACTTATTACTTGTATTAATTCAAGGGGTCTTGGTCAATTATCATTTCTTCCGCTAGAGCCATTATAATGGTCCAACCCGTCGGATTGAGCTCATTTAACCCATTTTTAAATGGACTAGGTTGGAGGTTTTTCCAAATCGGCCCATTTAGGCCCACACGTACAACCCGTGAGAGGGTATGAGTTATACGGGTTGGCCCGTATAACGGTATAACCGTATAACTGGTATCCCCACTTTCAAATTTGTTGTGTAATTGAGATTTGAATATTAATATTTTAAAATATTGTTAATAACAAGATTTTTGTTTGTACTATCGACTCTATTACAATGTAGTATCTGTTTAATATATTTTCTCTATTTGTTGTAGTTCAAAGAGTCAATACCCCGCCACTGATGTTCGATCATGTGACCTTCCCTAAAGGAGAGTCACATAGGTGTCAACTGAGCATAAGGTGCATGACTAATAACAAGAATTTAACCCTTATATATAAAACTAGTTTTACATGTGCATTGCGTGAATGAGTTAATGTCCAATGTTTATCATTAAATAAATATTTGAAAGTATATCAATGCAGAATTATATATGAGATGTTCATGCGTAAGTAATTTAATGTTGAATTTGTTTATTTAAATATGTAACTCATGGTATATGAATACAATATAATATATGAGATTCACTATAATTGTTACTAAACTTTTTTTAAATAGTAATCAAGTATTTTTGTTGCAAAGGGTTTTAATATGTTTAATGAATGCACATATATACAAGATCAATGAATGAATCAACGGTACCAGTCCTTTAGGTGTTTTGCACAGTATTCATTTAGTTCAACCAATATTGTTGAATAAATTATTATGGATAAAGAAATTCCTAATTTAAGGAATTTAGATGAAGTAGTAAAAATTTAAAATTTTTAATTATAATGTAACCCAAAGATATTGGACGATTGGTAAATATGATGTAACCCAAAGATGAAAATGTTAAAGAAAGTATTTGGTTATTCAACAGTTTGAAGCCACAATTTGTTCCAAGCCACTGAAAATACAAACATTACCATTTACAATATTTTCACTTAGCATTTTTTAGAATGATTTCTCTAAAACACCTCTATATTAAAAAAATAAAAATAAAATTACTGTAGAGCCATTTTGACTCCTTGAATAACAAGAGCCAGTTTCGCTGACTCACTGCTTGCCCATCAAACGGATGGGCAAGCTTAATTTTAAATTGGAGCCTTGAGGCTCCACTCCCATGCCACTTTTCTCACCGATGTGGGAAAAGTGTCAAAACTAAGAGGAGCCGAATGTTCAGCTCCTCATATGTTTTATTTTTTTTATTTTTTATTTAATTTTATTTATTTTATTAAATTATTATTATTATTATTATTATTATTATTATTATTATTATTATTATTATTATTATTATTATTATTATTATTATTATTATTATTTATACCCTTAGGTCATTTTACATGTTAATCTAAATAGCTAATTTTTCAAATATCTTTTTACCTATCATTGATATAATTCGCTGGTCAAATCCGTTAATATAATTCGCTAACTGCTGAATGCCAAACAAGGACATTGCGAAATAGTTTTCCACTTCAATATGATTGGCTTAATTATATATTTTTAATTTTTTTCATGGTATTAATAAAATACTTGGTAAATAAATACATAGTATTATTTTGTATTATAACTTTGGTATTTAATTAAAAAACAGCGCACAAAAAAAAAATAGACAATGTAGTGAATATAATCAATGGATGAATTTGAATGTAAAGAATTTTTACATTGGAGAAAAATAAAGACAATATAACTAATGAAATTATTTTTCTTAATTAATTTATTGATAATGAATAATTTTTTTTGAATAAAGACATTGTAGGGACAATGTAGCGAATATAATCAATTGATGAATTTGAATGTAAAGAATTTTTATATTGGAGAAAAATAAAGACAATATAACTAATGAAATTATTTCTCTTATTTAATTTATTGATAATAAGTATTTTTTTTGAATGAAAGCATTATAGACACATAATTCTAAATTAAAGAAATGCATATTTATTATTTTTGGTTGTAGCTACTAAATTATTATTTAATTTAATAAGAGTAAAATAAAGTTCTAATTATGCCAATTTTGATTGAGGTGTGGTTCGAACCTAAGACTTTTCTTATTGAAATCAATGAGTAAGTTAATGGTGAACTAACAAAAATTAACGAGAAAGATAATATTTAACGGAAAAGTTAACAGATATTCATATAATTAAGGATAAATTAGGAAATCCTAAGGAAAAATTAAAATCTGATCAATTTGAGCCATTCATTTGATTAAAAAATGTGATCATCATTTTTTCTACCCATTATAGGCCTAACTCTCTTGGGCTCTTATTAGAATAGTAGATAGTTCATTTTTTCAGGGTTCCCCCAATATTTTTCAAACTTATTTTTCATTTGGGTCCCCCTGTACAGAATATTTTAAAAACAAATTGACCATTGTTTAAAAATTAAAACAAACACAGATTTTAAAAAACTACACAAATTTGTATTTACCTTTTCACAACCAGATTCAGCTCCAATCATGTCATCTAACATGCAATTAAGATCAGAGATCTCACTGAAGAAAGTGTTAGATGTGACATAAAGAGAACTAGAAATTCTCATAGTCATGTTATAGAAACTTTTTAGAAAAGTTACCAAACTTTGTACATTACACCAATCTAGAAAAGTGCACACAAAATCACCAAGGTCAACAGAAAATGAGGAATCATTCCCCTCATATGCATCAAGCACTCTCTGGTACTGGATAGCAGTGTTGAGCATTATGTAAGTGTTATTCCATCTGGTAGGAACATCCAACTGCAAAGCTTATCTAGCTTCCACCCCAGATCAGCAAGATCTCTAAACTTCTTTAGCCTTGCAGGGGAGTTCTTAACCCATCTCACTGCACCCCTAACCCTCTGAACTGAATTGTCATCAAACTTCAACCCATCTTGCACCACCAAATTCAGAATATGGGTTATACACCTCATGTGCATGTATTGACACCTTATAGAAGTGCTACCCCAAGGCAGCAACTTACTTTTGAAAAACCCCATGGCAGTATCATTGGAAGAGGCATTGTCAATTGTGACAGTAAAGACATTCTTAATACCCCACTCAACTAGACAACTCTCCAAGGCCTTGGCTACATTCTCTCCCTTATGAGATGAAATAGGGACAAAGACTATGAATTTTTTGTTGAGCTTCCACTTATCATCAATGAAATTTGCAGTAATGCACATGTAATTTATCTTCTGTACAGAGGTCCATGTGTCAGTGGTCAAGCTAACTATTTGGGAGCTACCCTTAAAAATTTGTTTAAGGACTAATCTGTCATCTAGGTATCTTTGGAAAATATCTCTTGAAACTGTCCACCTAGAAGGGATTTGGAACCTAGGACAGGCAACTAGAATGAATCTTCTAAAAAACCTTTGCCCTTCAACAAACCTAAAGGGTAACTCATCTATTATAATCATTATCTCACATAAAGCCCTCCTAATGGCTTCTTGATTAAACACTCAAGTACCTAATTCCCCCATTACCTCCTTAGAACCCTCTGGCGCATAGAATGATACATCATTGAAGGTGATCAGTGACTGCCTTGTATCCTTAGAATGAGGATGTTTAAGACAGCTAATCATATGATTTCTTAAGGAGGAAGTGCCATTTTTTTTTGGCTCACATGCAAAGAGCCTTGCACAATATAGGCACTTCCCCTTAATCAACTTTTCATCTTTATCAAGGATCTTTTTCAAAGTGATCTCACCTTTGATATAGACTCAACCTACTTCATCCTTTTTGTAGGAATAGCAGGAGTCACTTGAGGTTGCTGAGCAGGTGTCTCAGTGCCTTGGGCTTGTCCTCCATGTCCCTCCTGAGTTGAGGGTTGAGGTCCAGAACTAGGTTTAATGATGCTCTCCATCTAAAAGGATGGGCATCAATTCATTATCCAACAATGGCAAGTATGCAACAATCACAATAAACATACAAATAATTGAAAGGAATCCAAATTAAGACACTTGTTTGTGTCATCATTTATCAAAATTTCATAATTACATATTTACATTACAAACAGTTAAGGACATTTAAGGGCCATACATCCATAAACATATTACATATTTACATTACAAAAAAAATCCAGATTCAGGAACTGTATTCAGTTCATCATTATCTGAATTTCAATTAAGGGCTTCCACCAATAAATGAAAATTTCAAGTTTCAACCTTGATAATTTTACATTTAAGCCTTTAACTCTTTAAGGGGCATCACAATAGATCACAATCATCGCATAATATCACAATATCTCACAGTTTCACACTGCTTCCACCATAATATATCAGAAAATATTCATATTTCAAATATATCACAATATATTCCAAATATAAAACTAAGATTTGCAATTAAAACTACTTCC